AAAAACGTAAGGAGTTAATTACCTACGTGTATATATATATATATATATATACACACAAGCTTTTTTCGCGTATGACGTATGAAGGAAGGAAAACCGCAGAGAAATAAACAAAACTATCTATTTCCGGTAAAAGGTTTATCGCGTGTTCACCTGTCTTACCCTTTGACGAATTAATTTAATATAATTTTGGTATTAATTATATAACTCTTTCGTTTTTTTTTTCTATTGTATTTTTATATATAGTTTTTTTTTTTTTTCGTAATTTCGATCCTGACTGATGATCATTCACGTCATATTATTTTTTAACAAATTGATGAGTATGAGATGGAATTAACATTTGAGAGATGATAAAATTTGGTGAAATTGATTGATGAAAATTTGACGGAAAAAATAATATTGAGAAACGAATGAATTTTACGTGCACGAAATTGCGCATATTTATCAAGGATGTGTTATTAAAAGATATAAATTCTGCTATGAAGAAGTTGTACTTAAGAGATATAAGAGGTATGAGGCAATCGTAGCAAATGTATGCAGGTTAATGATATACGAGGTGTTTTATGCATAGATACAAAAAATATATTTAAAATGAATGAGAAAAATGTCATTAGATGAAAGAAAATGATATAAAATGATGTATTTAATTTATCTAAAAATGAAATAACACTTTCCCTTCTTAAATAGAATCTACTATACTTTTGATTAAATAAATTGTTTTAATTTTCTATAAGTTGACGTTTAAAATTTTCTACTTTCGTATTATTTATCACATGAATTACACCTGTTTTCATAATTTTTTATCTTTTTGAGGTTATATATATATTTTTTTAAGATTGATGAATGTCTTAAACATCGATAGTAATGTTGTTTTCCTAGGTATTAAGATTTTTGTTAGAATAATCAAAAATTAGAATGATGCAACGAAAGAATTCTGTTATTTTATCCAATGACATTATTTTTTTCATTTTTAATTCTTCGAAAAGTATAGGAAGAAATTTATTTTTCGACTCATCTCGATCTTGTCAATTAAATCATTATTTGTTACTAAACTTTTAACGATTAAATCTTAAAAACTTGTTGGTTAACGAAATCGAAATACCAAATAATATAAATAATTGAACATGAACTTTTTGTCGTTCGAGTATAGTTTGAACAACATCAATTTATCACCAGGTTTCCTATAAGTTATAATTGGATTTTGGTAACTCGACAAAGATCGGAAGAGCCTTCTTATTTCAAACCAGAAGCCGCACAACGAAGAAATTAATTTTCTATCATTTATTACTTTTTCTTTCCTCCCCCCTTCGTTTGTCTATTCCTTCGTTCAGTATCTATACGTACATATATATATATAGATACATACGTATAGTTTATTAAATCGAAACGAATAAATATAAACACTGAAGAAGCGCGAAGGATAATAGCTCGCATAACAGAATCCGCCATTTCTCCCGGATAGTATGCAGGTCTATTTTTGACAAGTGGTTAAAATAGCTGAGCTTAAACTTCTGCTAGACACTGTTTGAACCGTTTGAGCTGCCACGCAGAAAAGGAATTAGGTCAGACATCAATAACAAAATAAGTATTGGAAAAGTCCTCCTCCTCTCTCTCTCTCTCTTTCTCTCGCTCTTTTTAGATCGTGCGGAAAAACGTAAGGAAAAACGTCAAATCTTTCGAGATTATTAACCGATCGATCGATCGATCTACTTTTATTCCAACACGATTTCCCTCGATTCGTTTCGTTTCGATCGTTGCGCATTTTTCGTTAACGGTTACGCAGCCGTAATCGAGACGATACTCGTTTCATCCCGAGTCAACCGATTGAATCGAAAAATTCGAGGTTTCAGGCGGCGAAAGTAGGTGTAGGTTAGGTTTCAATTACGTTTCGAGTTCGATCGATCGTGGGATACGCGTGAATAGAAAAAAGAAAATACATGTCACGAGTCTCGACGAGTTTTCCATATGTCGTGAAACGTCGAGTTTAAAAACGAGCATGTCACGCCGTTTACAGTAAGCAATCGTTGAAACAGCGGTTGTCTAAATTTAAATGCATGTCTCGAAGCGGTTGCATAACCTGGCATCGAATGCGTACACCAACGAAACTGCGGAAGCTAAGGCTACCGGTATATACTTTTTCGACCCGACCGTATACCGCCGCAGCGTAACCTTTCTCGTAGGTGGTGAACGATCGATAACGGAATAAAAAAAGGCCGGTGTAAAAAAAGACGGAGAAAGAGCACAACGCGCACGAAGGTTGTCCTCGACGAGCTTTTTCTCTCGTTTAAATAATTATAGATCGTTACGGAACAATAACAACAAAGAAAGCATAACAATAATAATAAAACTAACGGTCTAACCTGCTGGAACGGTGGCAGCTGTAACAAATCCCTTTCTTCGGCGGTGGTGACTTCGAAGGTGGGCGCTGGTTGAGGCGGATACATGTTACCCTTGCCGGGGTACGAAGTGCTTCTTCGAAATTTGACAGGGCTGATGCAAGAAGGATGGGCGGCCGGGCCCGGGTGGCCGGGAAACGTGGGACTCGGCTTCCTGCCTTGTAACCCAACCGCGGCCGCGGCCGCGGCCGCGGCGTGCAGGGACGAGTGCAGGGGAGGAAGATTCGGCACCGATCTGCCACGATTCCAGGGCGAGAGGCCGGGGCTCGCGACCGCGGCTTGCGGCCCAGCGCTCCACTGTTGGGGCGCTTGCGGCCCACCTGACCAAGCCGCGTAACCCTTCCCAGGAAGGTAAACACCCGGATGCGAGGTGGCTGTCGGCTGCTGCTGATGCTGCTGCTGTTGCTGCTGCTGCGACGGTTGCTGCTGCTGTTGCTGTTGCTGCTGCTGCTGCTGTTGAGCGGACGACACTTGGAGGCCGCCGTGCCTGGCGGTGGGAGCGGTCGCGGTTCCGTGTTGTTGCGGGAAATTGTGACTGGCCGTGATTGCGCGACGAGCGCCGGCCGGCCCTGTGCCGGCGAACAAACCGGTCGGCCCGCCGCTCGGAAAGTTCTGAAACGCGGCGATGGATCCGTTGACGGGGAGCGCGTGGAGGCCGGTTTCGTCCGGGGCCGACCACAAGCTCGGCACCCTTCCGGCACCCTCGGTGAAACTCTGCAGGGCCGAGCTCGTCGTGCTGCACGCGATCTCTTTCTCGGTCGAGGAGGGCGTCGTCGGCGTGATAGCGATACTCTCGACCTCGACCGGGTCCTTGGTCTTCTCCTGGCCGCCGACGGTCTCCAGGCCGGTGCTGGGCGACAGGGGCGCTGCTTTGCCGCCCGCCTGCTTCTCGATCAACAGATCGTCCTGCATCGTCGTTATCGTCGTTATCACGCCGGCTGCTGCTGATGCGCTGCTCGCCGATGTTGTCGCGTTGCTGATCGAAGATTTGGTGCTCGTGGTGGACAAACTACTCGAGAAGAGACCCGCCGCGCTAAAGTCCCCCATAAATCGTCGCGGCTCCAAGATCCACGACGAGTATCCTGCCGAGTATCGTGTCGAGGTCCCTTTCGCCGGCCAACTCCTTTTGGATCCCCCTGTCGAACGATTACGATCCTTTTTTACTACGCTTCCGACTCCCAACCCTCCCCCTCCACCCTCCCCGCCGCTCCCTCGATCCCTAATCGAAATCGAGAATTGACCCGTTTCCCGAGGTAAATCGGCGTCGTTCCTGCACCGGCACCCCGACCACCCAGAGAGCTCGCGAGACAACTATCGATCCACGGCGTACGCGTAAAAACACCCACCAGAAAGCCCGGAAGCTGTGCGAACCACACCGATATTTGGGTTCTCTTATTTTCCTCGATCCTCTCTTGTCCCGATTTCTCTCTCTCTCTTTCCCTTTTTCTCGACGTTTCTCCCTCCTTTCAATGCGCTTCGATCGCACGTTCTTTCGTGACCTGACGCGTTTCTTCCTCTCTCTCTCTCTCACACACACTCATACGCTCTTTCTCTCTCTCTATTCCTCTTCCTGCATACATCTTACTCTTGTTTTGGTAGCTAGTAACTAATCGAGAGTGAACTATACCAAAAACGCAAACGCGTGCAACCACCCGCTCGATGACCATCCCATAAAGCTATCGACGACGAAACGTGTGTATTCGATGGTTCCCTGTGTTTCCGGTATTGCATACACTCGCCTCGGGATGAGGATATTCTCGCCCTTTGGCGAGTACGACGAATGCGAAGTCAGTTGGACTATTCTCTTCTCCCAAGTACACGCGAAGAAACGCGACCTTTCGTGTTGCAGCGCGACTATTTGTCGATTCCTTCGGTCGCGTTTCACGCGCGCACACGCACGCACTCACACACGCACGCACACGCTCACGTACATATGCAGGCACACACAGTGCATGCACCACACGAAACGAGGCCGGGATCGTCGTTTGCCGTTGCGTATAGCGAACGAACGCGGCAACACTACGAATATACTACTATAGCTTATCACTGAAATACACAGAATGTGGACGAAAGGATCGTTTCGAACGCATCGACGAATCGAGATCCATGGCGAGAAGCAGTATCGCTCTCATTCGACACTCGCGTACGCGTGTAATCGCAACTGTTTCCCCGATTACACCGATCGCTCGGCCGATCGATCGAGAACACCGAGAACACGCACGGATCGTCGCAACGATACACGATACACGGCCACTCGACGGGTTATAAATCCTCCGCAAGTTACGTGGGAATTCCCTGAATGCTTTCGTCGAATCCGCCACAATCCAAAACAATCCTCTTGTGCCGAATCCTTCGTCGATTTGTTTCGCCGAACTTACCGTCGTCTCGGCTTTTCTTCGTTCGACCTAGCGCTGCTTCTCATTGGCAACTCGCGTACTATGACCACTCGCGGTTATATAGTTTGACCACGATACTGCTCTTGCTCGTTCACGTGCCACGACTTTTCGAACGATAAGTTGTTGTAATAACTGTCGATTCGCGGACAGAGCCGAGAGTTTGCCGGCCCACGTAAGATTCGATCGATCTCTAATCGGACGGCCGGCTGGTTATTCGCGTTTCTTGGCTGCGCTCGACGGAGCACTCGATCGGAGGCCAGCCGAGCGCGATTCGACGACGCAGCTTCGTGGCTCTGCGTCGCGCGTAACACGATTCGTGCGTGGTGCCGACTTTTCAAACACTGTGGCCCTGCTGCGGCCCACACCATGCCAGCCGTAGTCTCTCTCCGCGTAGCCGTCCACTCGGCGATCTTCGGCCGCCGCTTCGTCCTCGTCCTCGTCCTCGTCGACGTCGACGTCGCTACGTCGCTGCTGCGTCGCACGACGACGTCGGTCACGCACGCGCGTTACCGCTCTCGCCTTCGAGCCGCCGTCGCCGCCGCCTTTGCCGCCGCTGCCGCCATCCTCTTCTCTATCGCCGTCATCGTCGACATAAACATAACCATAGCCACCGGGATCACCGACGGGAACCGTCATCGTTCGCTCGACCCTTTCTTGCCTTTCGTTCCTCCCCTCGCGTTACGCCAAACTTCTCAGATTTCTCCGCGGTTCCATCTAAATTTTCAAATCCATCCATTCGATACTGGCGCCTTGTCTACTTCCCTTGCTCTACTACCTTTCGCTCGAACGTACCTGTGCCTTCGGTTACCTACCGACAGAGATAAATAACAGAGTTGTACGGCATATCGCTACACATTTACAGCATTATCGCTTAAAGCTTAAGCGCATTCGACAATAACCACCTGCACGTTCTTCGCGATGCACGATTAAAAATTTTTCCTCCCGTTTTCTTCCAAGCAGCAGAAAGTATCTATATTTCATTTGTTAAAAGAATTCGTTATTCTTCGTATCGATTAATAACAGTTTTATAAATAGTCGATTATTATTCGATCAATCGAAATAAAATAGTAATAATTGTGAACATCTTTATTAAGCATATCATATATTTATAATAATTTTTGAAAATTGAATTATAGATATACGATGGATAAAAATTATTAGTACCTGTTAACGCATCATATTTTTTTTACGTTTGAAAGAATAAAACTTAAAATCCCGCTTAAAATTAATTATAAGTAATTGATGAATGTCTTACGTGACAATAGATGGAGTAACTGACTGCATGAGTCATTCGACTTGACGTTTCGAGTGAACGCAAGTAACGATCGTAAAACAGAAGAAGAGAAAGGAAAAAAGAGATTATATTTTGCATTATTAAATTTTTTTTAACAAAATGAATAGACTCTTTGGCCGACCTAAACCTAAAGAACCATCACCGAGTATTACTGACTGCATCGCTGGGGTAAATATTCATATCATTGCAATACCGTAGAGGTTACGTTGTTATTTATTCATTTATGTTCTTGTGTTATTCGTTTTTATTCTTTGCTAATGTTCGTAACAGGTTGACAGCAGAGCGGATTCCGCAGAGAAGAAAATAGCGAAATTGGATGCGGAATTGAAAAAGTACAAAGATCAAATGGCCAAAATGAGAGAAGGTCCTGCAAAAAATTCTGTAAAAGCTAAAGCATTGCGTATTTTGAAACAACGTAAAATGTACGAAGCACAAGTAGATAATTTGCGTCAACAAGCTTTTAACATGGAACAAGCAAATTATGCTACCCAAACGTTAAAAGATACTCAAACAACTGTAATTGCCATGAAAGAAGGAGTTAAACAAATGCAGAAAGAATTTAAACACATTAATATAGATCAAATCGAGGTATTTTCAGTACAATATCTTGTTTTCCTTTGTCTTAATATTGTTTAACATGATATGTATACGTATATATCGTATATACATGTTATAAAGGATCTTCAAGATGATTTAGCAGACATGTTAGAACAAGCCGACGAAGTACAAGAAGCAATGGGTCGCAGTTACGGTATGCCAGATATAGATGAGGATGAATTAGCTGCTGAATTAGAAGCTCTTGGAGATGATTTAGCTATTGACGAAGATACCAGTTACTTGGATGATGCTATCAAAGCGCCTAGTGCTCCTGACAAAGAACCTGGTACAAGCTCTGTTAGGAATAAGGTTAGCATTTTATGAAAATATAAATAAAAATGAAAATTTATAGTAATTATTATATCTTTTATAAATACTGTACAAATTATTTAAAAATATAAAATTTCAATGATTCGATTTATTAAAAAAAATTTTTTTTTTAGGATGGAGTTTTAGTCGATGAGTTTGGTTTGCCACAAATACCAGCTAGTTAAAAAATTATTTTATATAAATTATATCTTTGCAAATTAATGTTATGTATATCGATATATTCAAAAACGATTGAGATTTTTGAATTTTTTTTGTATATGCCATTATGTACAGACAATGTATATATTAACTATTTTGAATTTTCAAACATCTTGATACGAAATTCGCGCAAATAATAAATCTTCGATGAATGAAACGTTGTTACCAATATATATGCTAATCTATTTTTGTTGCATTCTTTTTGTGTTATATAATGTATAAGTCAAGTTAATAAATAAAAAAAAAAATTAATAAAATTATCTAATGTAGAAATTAAAGGATCTGTAATCGAGAAACATTTATTTCATTTTGACTTTGTAGTTTTGTATATTGTGTGATTAAATTTAAAATTATTCTTTGCAATCGATGAAATGCGTTTCTTCAAATCCACGTACTTGCGTATAATGATATACATGTGCCTGTAACAACAATTTAATCATACTAAAAATCGTATTTAATATCTTATTTAGAATTTTATACTGTTATATACAGGATGGATTATAATATACTAATAATAATATTTTTTTTCTTGAAAAATTTCAACTTTTATTCTTAGTATAACAATAAATAAATAAAGATTTTGATAGAGAGAATTTGATAGAAAGAATTTATTAAGAAATATAAATTTTTCTCTGTTTTCCAAAATCCATGCTGCATATACATATAAAGATCATACCTTTACCTTTCGTTTATATAATCTGGTAAATTGTTTTATTATATTTTCAAATAATGATGTCATTGAGGAAGAATTTAAAAGACATAATAATGAGGTAGAATGTCCAGCTGGGGGTACAGAACATAAACCCACTTTCATAGCTTCAGTACCCCATTCTGCGAATGTAACTTTTTTCCGAAATCTGAAAATTGAAATTAAATTGTATTATAACAATGATTACAAACATATATAGATGAATATATTGTTTATAAAAAATCACAAGCAATATACTTTTCAATATTTCGTTTTAAATCATTTACAGAACAATTTCCTCTAGCAATATGCGCAGCACTTAAAATCATAGAACCTGTTTGTAATGGATCTAGTTTGATCGATTGATTGTTTCGTGACCATGCATTGATAAATATTTCATCTATAAGTCTAGAAATAATGTACAATTACTTTTTGTAATTTGATTTAATAATTTCAAAAGCTAATACATACTTTCTTCCTTGAATATTGCATGTTGTAGACGCAGATAATGTTACTGGACTAACGCTACTAAATATATAATGTAATTTCGGATATGGTACAAGATTCGTTGCTATTTCGTTCATATCCATATTCAAATTACCAGGAAATCTAGATCCGCTAGAAAAAAAATATTCTTAGTTTACAAATAATTGTTAGAAATTATTGTTAATCTTATTAATCTAATATTTGTTAATCTATTATATGTTACCTAGTTAAATGAAGAAGTATATTTGCAATAATACTATTCATATCTTGAAATGGTTTACATGAAATATTATAATTTATTTGATCCATATTCTCTTTTTTCCTTAATTGTGCATTACATATGTCTATAAGTGCTTCATTTTCAATAGGAAAAACACATGTTGCATAATCTATAAGTTCTCGTGTTGCCAATAACACATTATATGGGGCTGTAACAACATCTTGCATAACAATTGGATATACACATGATACTAATCTGTAACAATAACAATCATATTATAAAATTAATAAAAATTATAATAAAAAGTGTAACACAATCTTAAGAAGAATGTGTATAAAGATCTTAAATGAATGTGAAATATTTTTATTATACAGATTGTACCTATCTATAGTAGGATAATTATCAGCTAGTAACTTTAAAACAGCTGTTCCTAATCCAGATCCAGTACCACCGCCAAGGGAATGCATTGTTAGAAAACCATGTAATCTAGAACATTTCTCAGCCATACGTCTGATATTATCTTCCAATTTGTCATAATATTCTGTGCCATGAGTATAATAACCTACAGCCCTATAAATTACATTTATAATATTTATGTATAATTCAAGAATATCAATTAAATCTATTATGTGAAATATTAAAAAATCAGTACCAATTATTTGCAGATCCTGGATAATTTGTTACAATACAAGTCTGATCAAATAAATCACGTACAGGACCTCTTCTCATTTCTCCTATAACACTATCTTCCATATCTATCAATATTGCCTATACATAAAAAAATTCATTTTGTAAATATATTTATCTATTTATATTATCTCATTTTTCTATAATTTTGAACAAAAGAATAAAATTATAAATAAACGTTATACCCTGGCCTTGACTTTAGCTTTTCTTAAATCATTCATACTTTTAAAACATAAATCTTTGGGTGAATTGTCAGGTATAACAAAAAAACTATCGAACGCATTAGACAGATCATTTATATTTTTAATATGATTTCGTTGTGTTTTAAGTAAATTTATTCCAGTATTCGTTGTTTGTATACCATACTCGTGTAGTGCCAAAGGCCAAAATACTGAACCGATTTGATTTCCACATTGTCCAACTAAAATCATTATTAACTAATATAATTTCTATTTATTTTTAATATATGTAATTCATTGTAAAAAAAAAAATACATAATCAGATAATTACGAATGTAATATCATATAATATACCTTGTATCGAGATAAACTGACTCATTGAAGAATCTATAGAAAAAAACTTGAATCTCGTATATAATATACTTTGATATTTCTAACTAT